TTTTTTTTTTTTTTTTTTTTTTTTTTTTTTTCCTCCATCCCCTCCGCCCTTCCCGACTATTTAAAGTCGCGACATCGCGGGCGGCGGCTCAGAAAGAAGAAGAAGGAGGAGGAGGAGGAGGAGAAGGAAGAGCAGCGGAGGAGGGTGGGAGTGAGTTTTTTTTCCCCCTCCCTCCCTCCCACCCGCCCCACGCGAGTTTTCAGCCATGAATCCCAATTGTGCCCGCTGCGGGAAGATCGTGTATCCCACGGAGAAGGTGAACTGCTTGGACAAGGTGAGTTTTTTTTTTGGGGGGGGAAAGGAAGGTGGTGGGGGGGGGGGTTCGCACGTGGATGGATTTGGAGAAGGTTTTTCCTGTGGAGTTGCCACCGGGTGGGATGATCCCACACCCCCCCTCCCCAACCCCCATTCCCGGGGGGGTTTTCCATAGGGTCGCATCGCTGTGGAATCCCCGTTGTCCCGGGGGTCCCCGCGCTCCTTCCAGCTCTGGGGGGGTGACAATTCCTTGTGCTGCTCCAGGGGACGTGCTTTTCCACCCACCCCACATTCCCCGGGGTATTTCCACGCTGCCCCATCGGGACCCCCTTTTCCAGGGGGTATTTCCACCCGAGTCCTGGCGGTCACATCGTTATGGAACCCCACTGTCCTGGGGGGTCCCCACGCTCTTTCCAGCCCCGGGGAGCACCGAGGAATGTGGTTCTTCCCCCCCCCCCCCATCATCCTTTTCCCGCTGATATCCCCACGGGACCCCCATTCCACGGGGGGGTATTTCCACGCTGGTATTTCCAAAATCCCGTGGGTCCCTCACACTCCTCCCAGCCTTGAGGGGGGCTGTTGGAGGTGGCACTTCTTGTGCCACGCTGGGGGACGTGGACGGAGCCCTTTTCCCAGGGTTCTCCAGCGGCATCCAGGACTTTTCCTCGTATATCAAATTGATGTATTTATTGTAATATCTCTAATTAAAAGGCAGCACATCCCTGTGCCTGTGGAGGCCGAAGGAAAGCAACAGTTAATGTTTCCCTGGAGCTGGGAACCTCATCTGGTTTCCATTATCCAGCTTTTTTCCCCCCTTTTTTTTTTTTTTTTTTTTCCTCCAAATCTTCCATCCCAATTGATACTTCCCTGTTCCAATCCCTGGGCTGCCTCCTTTAACATGGAGTATCCCTTTCTCTGAGTATTTTCCCATCCAAACCAAAGCTCTGGGCTGGAGGTGAGGAAAGTGGTGATGGGTCTCCATTCCCCCGTGCTGTTCCCACGGGATTCTACTTCCCAAACTAACCCATCCTGGAGAGCTGAGCTGTTCTCCTCCTCCCCCTCCTCTCCCAGGCTTCTGGGACGACCAGTTTAGGGACTAAAAAAAGTAACTGGAAGAATGCTGGGCTCTCCAGCGACATTCCTGAGCTTTGCAGCCCCTGCTGCTCACATTTTTAAGGGATGATGTTTCCTCCTGGGGCTGGGAACGGCTTGGAGCTGAACTGTCACCCCTGTGCCCTGGGTTTTGGGGGCAGTGGGTGGCTCAGCGTGCTGGAGCCTGGGCTGGCCTCCAGCAGCTGCAGGGGGTTGGGATTGGGGGATCAGTGGAAGGGAAGGGGGGATTTTAGGGTTGTGGATCACTGGAAGGGAAGGGGGTTATTGGGATTGTGGATATTTGGAAGGGAAGGGGGGATGACCCGTCACTTCCTCCTGCTCCAGACGCTGCCTGGAGTCTGTGCTGTGTCTGTGTGTCCAGGAACACCGGGAGATGGTGTATTCCAGCTGCTGGGAAGCAGGCAGGGCCCTGCAGTCACCATCTTGTGCTGCTCGGGCTCCTCATCTGCTTCCTCTTCCTAAAAACCGTGGCACTCGTGGGCCAGCACACCCCGCCCAAAAACTGCTGCCCCCTGGGCTTCGCTCCCCCTGGGCTTCCTGGCTGGCACAGCTGACCCACTTCCCATAAAACCCTGGGATTGGCAGGGTGTTGGAGCCTCTGCCTCCCCGCTTTTCCTGCCCCTAGAGCAAAGTCCGAAGGGCAGCCGGGCTGTGTTTGCAGAAGTTGCTCCGACCGAGGGGCTGCCGGGAGGGGAAACGCGGCCCTGGTGCCTCTGGTGTGCTGGGCTGGCTCTGAAACCCAAAAAAGTCCATTTCCCTCGTGGGATCTGCGGGAAAACTCGCTGCTCTGTGGGGCTCCCCGGGGAAGGGAGCAGCAAAACCCACCTGCCCACAGCCCTGCCCCTCAGCCTCCAGCCTGTCACCCCGAGGGTTTGGGGACGTGCTGCTGTCCCTTCCCCCACGGGAAGGTGCCGGGGAAGGTGCTGGGTGATGGCTCTGCTTCCGCAGGGGAAGTGACACCCCGGAGCCCACGGAGGGCTGAGGTCACAGGAGCTGCTCCGAGAAGAGACGGCTCACCCCAAGCTCTGCAGGGCCTCAAACCTCGGCCGGGGTTGATCTGCAGCCTGGGGGGGGTCTCTCCTTGTGTTGTTCTCAAGCCCTGGAGCCTCCAGTGGTGCTTGTTCTGGGTGGGGAGTGATGGCTTTGCTTGGTCTGACCCAGGGGAGCTCCATCCCTGGAAGTGTCCAAGGCCAGGTTGGACGAGGCTTGGAGCAACCTGGGCTAGTGGAAGGTGTCCCTGGGGGTGGAACTGGGTTGTCTCCAAGGTCTCTTCCCACTCAAACCATCCCGTGGTTCTGTAAGTGGATCCCAACACTGTGGCCCTGAGCTCTGTCCCCAGATCTGCTCTGCTGTGAGGGGGGGGGGGAGGGGAAGTTGCCACTCCCAGAGGAGCCTTTCAGGGTGACCACCCTGCGCTTCCCAGCCTGCTGTACCCGGGATCACCCCCAGACATGTCCCTGGAATTGCCTCCAGGCCTTCAGAGCACTTTCCAGGCTCGGAATTGGAAAGCACAGGCATTAATGCTCCTCTGAAAACCCACTTGAAACCTGCCCTGTTTCTCTGCAGCCGTGCTGGAGTGTTCCTGGAAGCCTAAATAACTGCAGTTCCCCTGTGTCCAGCCGTGTTCCAGCCCTCCTTTCAGTGCTGCCTCACGGCCTGTGGCTCTGCCATCAGCTCCACGGGTGGGAGGCAGAGCTTCAGGGAAGGCAGGTTTAAGGCTTTGACCTCCAAAACCCCCAAAGAACTCGGGATTCAGCTGTTCTGCCTGTCCCTAAAGAGTCCCAAAGCTGGGACAGGGGGGGAAAAGCCCACCCTGGCCGGGCTGTTTGGGAAGGGGGGTGTGGAGCAAAGCCCCTCTGGCTGGAGCTGTGGGTGCTGGAGGAACTCGTGTAACCAGAGGGAAGGAACAAATATGTTGCTCTGAGCAACTGAAAGGAGGAAAATTGTCCTCCTGGGCTGAGTCACGTCTCCAGAGCCTGGCAGTGTTTATGCTCGGGGTGTGGTGACACCAGGGCTTGGCTCCCTGCAGGAACAGGGCTTGGGGTGGGGAAATGAACTTCTTTAAACGTCTGAGGGTGGAAATCACAGCGAGAACCCCCAGCTGGGTGCCCGGGGTTTGCTTTTTGAGTGTTCAGTGTGTGGGCCTGGCTCCCAGGTCTCCCTGTCATCTAATTGGTGTTTTGAGTTCCTAATTTGGGGGGTTTGGGTTGATTTTTTTTTTTCCCCCTTGATTTTGCAGGGTTTGGGTGCTGGAGGAGGGGAGAGCAGCTCTAGGGCAGGGCTGATTTTAACCTGAGCGAGTAAAGATGTTGCTTTGGGCTGTGCATTCCCTGTTTCACTGCTCCAGCTCAGCCCCTTCCTGGGCTGGGCCCTGGGAATTGGCTCCAGAGCCCTCAAATCCCGATGGAAATGCAGAGTCTGGGCAGTGGGTGACTGGCAGGACACTGGTCTTGGCCTGTGTGGGGCTGAGCAGCCTCAGAATGACAAAATCACAATCCTTTTGGTTGGAAGGACCTGTGAGTTCAACCTTTAAATTCCCTGGGAGCAGCTCTGAGCTGTCCTGATTGGGTTCCTTCCAGCCTGGAAACCCACTGGGGCCAGCTCAGTGCCAAGTGGAAATCATTTATTTAGGAGCAGCCCTAAAAAACACCTTCAGACGGTCCTTTAGGGTCTCAGGTCTCTCTGAATTGTGTCTTCAGCCCTGGCTCTGTGTGAGCTCCCTGTGCCTGCTTCCCACGAGAACCTTTTCCTCCCTGCCTGCATCTGCCTGGCTCGGGCAGCCTCACCTGACCTGCTCTTCTGGCTGGCACCTGGCAGAGCTCGGCAGGAAAACCCTAAAGCAGCAGCTCTGATGCCTCCAAATTAGGGCTGCTGGAGTTTGGAGCTCCCCCCACCCCGTGTTTGGCTGAGCCCACGAATCCCCGGGGCTGTGGGAGCTCGGGTGGGACGCTCTGGGAGGCTCGGGGAGGTTGGTTTTACCCTCAGTCACTCAGGATATTCTGTCCTCCAGGTTTTTTTGGGGGTCAGGGGTGGCACCCCGGGGAGCTGCTGGGTTGGAATTGTGTGATTCCAGCGGGCCCTGGGGTTGAGGGGGGGTTGTGTCACTGGTGTTCATGGCTGTCCTGTCTGTGTTTCAGTTCTGGCACAAAGCATGTTTCCACTGCGAGACCTGCAAGATGACCCTGAACATGAAGAACTACAAGGGCTACGAGAAGAAGCCGTATTGCAACGCGTGAGTCCCCGTCCTGGGAGGGCTGGGGGGGCTGATCTGGGGTTTGCTGCACCCTCCTCCCCCTTAAACATCACCCCCCACCCTGAAAAGAGGGGTGGGGGGCACCCTGACCTCTCCTGGAACTGTTCTGCTGCTGCTCTGGGGTGTTTGCTGGGAACGCAGGGGAAGTGCTGGATGAGGGGATCACACCCCAGTTCGTACTGGTTTTAAATCAGTCACACACCAGTTAACACTGGTACTAACCCAGGGTTTCCCAGGCCTAAATGCCAGCTGGTGGTGGCTGCTCTCCAGGTCCAGCCTGGGCAGGCAAGGTGGGGGATAAAATTCCAATACAGGCAGGCATTTCCCTGGAGCTGATCCCAAGCTGTGCCCCCTTAAAGAAAGGGGGAATCAAAAGGTGTTTCTTCCCCCCTCCCAGGTGGTTGTGGGGAGGGGACACTCCCTCTGTGCAGGGGACAAGGGCCACGGGGTCACCACGGCCTGTGCTCTGCTGGGCTGGGGGCCAGGCCAGTCACCTGAATTTACTGCCCTTCACCTGGAAGGGAAATGAATCTGGCAGGAAATGAAGCTTGAAGGCAAAAATCCTTCTCTCCCCTGAGCAGGGTGGGGGATGGAGGCAGGGCAGGGTAGAACAAGAGCACCTGCCTGGTCCTTTTTGGTCCTTTTTTTTTTTGTCCTTTTTTTTGGTCCTTTCCATCAGTTTCTGAGCAATGGGTGTCCAGAGCCCCCCACTTTTGTTTTCTCACTAAGGAGGACCCTTCACTGCTCACCCTTTCTGGGCTAGTCCTGCTCTGGTCTCTTAACATCTCTAAAGCAGCTTTGGAATATGATCTTTTGTAGCTGCTGCTTCTACACTGACAGTTCTTAGAAGGAAAATTGGATAATCTAGCTCTGGTATTAGCACCGGTCTGTCCACAGAGCGCTTAAGAACACTAATCCTGACAACATCCCTGGAGGGTGGGTGTTTGGAGTCGTGGAATTCCAGGCTAGTTTGGGTTGAGAGGGGCCTTAATGATCACCCTTAATGAACACCTTCCACTAGACCAGGCTGCTCCAACCTGGCCCTGAACTCTTCCAGGGATGGGATATCCGTGGAATAATCCGTGCCAGGGCCTCACCAGCCTCCCAGGGAAGGGTTTATCCCTAATTATCCCATCTAGACCAGACCAAACCCTCCCACTCCCGTGGCTTTTATGGGTGGTTGTTGCTGATATTGCTGATGGTGACTGTGGCTTGTCCAAAGTCCAGCACTCCTGCTGGGCTGAGAGGAGACTTGGAGCATTCCTGCTGTGGCTGGGAATGGCTGTTTCCTGGGATCTCCCCTGAAGCACAGGGTGGGAATGGCGAGGGGAAGCAGCAAATGGGGGGAACAGCTTTTGGGGTGAAACTGGGAACTTCTGGAGTCCCAGGAGGGGGAAAATGTGTGTCCTGAGGCAGGAGGAGCTGTTGGTTTAGGGGGTCTTTGGGCTGGGTGGGAGCTGGAGCCTGGCAGGGATGAGACCCCCGAGCTCTCCGGAGTGTCCTGATCCCAATCTTCCTTCCCTGGGCCGTGGGCACCCCGTCCCAGCTCTGTGCCCCCAGGACATGCCCATCCCGGGGTCCTGTGCTTGTGCTCTCCCTCCAAAGGCTGCTGGAAGGGAAGTGGGATAATAATGGGAAATTCCTGACATTCCGAGGAGTCTGCGCAACCCTCGACCCATCTCGGTTTCTCAGCCCCCTCTCTCAGGGCTCCCTTTGATGCTGCTGCTGCTGCTGCTTTAACCCCTTCCCAGCCCCTGCCCGTCCTGCCCCTGCTCCAGGGCAGGTCTGGATGTTTGGAATTGTGCACAGAAACTTGAGTTGGATCCTTTGTTCTTCCCACTGAGCCTGTCTGGAAGCGAAGGGAAGTGAGGAGCAGCTGGAAGCTGCTGGCACGGGGAGGCTCTGCCAGCCCCGGGTCGCAGTTCCAGGGCAGGGGAGGAGGGGTGTGTGAAGGGGAAGCTCCGAGTTTGGATGCAGAGCTGGATCCCTCTGGAGCATCCTGGGGAGTACAGAAACTCCAGGCAAGGTGAGAGTGCCTGGCAAAGGCCAGCCCAGGAGGAGCCCGACATTCCCAAATGGCTTTTGCCGGTGGTGGAGCCGAGGGACAAAATCTTCTGTCCCCGGAGAAGGGGGTGGAAAAGCAACGTTTATCCTGGCAGGGAGAGAGGCTGCTTTTCTGAACATGCCTCAGCACAGGGTCTCCTCTGTTTGAGCCGTGGCCTCCTGCCAAATTCCTGAGTTTCTTTCTTCAAGAGAGCAGGAGGAAGAGGGCTGGGCTTCCTCCAGCTCTGACACTGCCCCAGCCGTAAATCTGGGAGAAGCCTCTGGGGGACAGTGGCTGGTTCCCTCTGCCCTCCCCTGTGCCAGGCTGTGGGAATTGCTTGGTGGCAGCTGTGACTGTCTCCACCCTCCTCCCTGTCCCTCCCTGGGCTCCAGCTGGGCACTGGGGTGACTGGTTGCTCACTGGGAGCAGCACCCAGGGCTGGGTTGGACTCTGGGAGCGCTTTGAGTGCAAGAAGGGAAGATCCAGTTGAAGCCTGAGGCTTCTTTAAGTGAAGGGCGTGGAAGGGACAGGCAAGACTCGTGTTCAAGGGCCCAGCTGCTCCCAAATATACATCCTATATAGGTTTTAATATTTAACTGGCTGTGCTGGGGGGGATGGCAGAGCTGTGCTGAGGCTCAGGGAGCGGGGAGGTCCCAGTGGAGGTGGTACCTGTGGCTCAGTGTGCAGCACCAGATCCCACCTGGAAAATCCTGTCTGGGAGTTCAAAGCTGGCTCTTCAGTCTGGGGGAGGCTTCAGAGACATCCCTGGGCAGTGATGCTGCTTGGAATGCTGAGAGAATGCTGGGATTGGGAAGAAGGAGCAGAATCCTGGGCAGGAGGCTCCTTCTCTGCCTCTCTTGGCTACGAGGGATCATCTGCTGCTCTCCCCTGAAGCCATCAAGAGCCAAGGCCAGGCTTTATCTCTGCGGGTTTGCCCGAATTCCTGCTGCTGAACAAGCAGTTCCCAGTTGGATGCATCCCTGCCCAAAGCCCTGGCTGAGCACACACGTGTCCCACTGCCAGTGGGGTGGATCAGAGGCTCTGCTGCTGCTCCCGGGGCTGGGCTTGGGTTCCTTTCCCTGCTGCTGCAGAGGAGCTGCAGGAAGTTCGTGCCTGCTCCGAGGAGACACAGCCTGGGCCTGACACATCCCACTTTGTTGGGATGGTGCTGCCCACCCGGATCCCCTGGGATCCCCCCCAGGCTCCAGGATCCCCCCAGCTCAGAGCCCCGGGAATTGGCGATGCTGATGCTGCTCCACCCCCACGTCCCCCCTCGCTAAACCACGGGTTTTTTAACTCCTCAAAAAGGGGCTAAAGGTTGTGTAGAGGCTGCCAGAAATATCCCCCGGGGGTGTGTCAGCAGGTCCCTGCTCTCCATCTGCCAGTGACTTCAGCTTTCCCTCGTGGAGAAACCGCCCCCAGCACGGCCCAGATCGGGATGTGGGGCTGGAATTCCTCCTCTCTAGAGTCGGGGAGAGCAGATCCTGCCCAGCTCACCTGGTGTTCCCTAGCAGGGAGCTGGGGAAACCTGGAAATCCTGGGCATGACCCAAAAAAAAAAAACACCTCCCTCCCTGGCAGGTCCCTCGCTGTTCAAATCCTGCCTTCGCACGCGGAGCGAGGGATCCGATACCTCCAGGCTTTAATCCCTGGCTTGGAAAAAGTTAGTGAGCAGCTCTACAAGGAGCCAGTGATCCTCTCTTGGCAGGGCTCCCTGCTCCATCTGGGAGAAGCTTTCCTGGTTAATAAAGTGATCTTCCAAACTTGGAAGGGGGGGCAGGAAGGGAAAGAGGAACAACTGTGCTGCTGGGATGGGGTCCAGGTGTTTATCCCAGGCTTTGTTTGTGCCGAGTTCCTGGATGGGAGGAGCTGGCTCGGAGCTGACTCTGCTCCTGCACTGGGAGTGCGTGGAAGTTGCTGGGGTTGGGGGTGGAGAACCTCGGAATTCGTGGATTTTGGGGACTGTGGTGTTGTGGTGGGCCAGTCCCGCTTCTCTGCTGCGTTTTGGGGAGGGGCTCACTGAGGAGGAGAGAGGATGTGGTGTGTGGGAAAGCGCCCGAGTGAGGCTGGGATTTAAAGGCTGGAAGGCTGGGAATGTTGGTGAATCCTCTTTGGGGTGGAGCATCTGTTTCTGGAGGGCTTGGGAAGGGCTTAGTCCAGGGGGCTGTCTGTGCCACTGACCTCTCCCAGCTGACACTGTTCCCCCTGGAAATCCCAAACATTCCACAGGGCTCCACCCCATCCCTGGCTGTCACCTCTCTGGGACTGGCTTCTCCTGGCAGGTGCTGGGATGAGATTGCCCCAGTGAGCCCAAACCAAAACCTTTGTGGATGAAGCCTCCGGTGAGGTGGGAAGGGGGGAAATCCAGCTGTGATTCCTGCAGGAAACTCCCCTCCCTCCCTCCTGGGCTCACTCTGTGCTGTGTTGCTCCTCTCCAAAACACCCCAGGTGTTTTCCACACACCTGGAAGAAGTTTCCCAGTTTCTGGGGTGAGGAAGAGGGGAATATGTGCAAATCTGAGGTGGTTTTCCCTCTGCCCCTGCCCTGGCAGCTCGCAGTGCCCTCGGAGCCGGGAGCTGCCCGGCGCTGACCTCGGCTCCAGATGGATGTTGACTTTCCTAAACTTGCTTATCCATGCCTGGGGCCAAAAAACCTTGTGGAAAATCCCAGCTTTGCTGCTCTGCCTGCTCTGTTCCCAGTGCTGGGGGTGGGGGCAGGACAGGGACTGCTCTGTTTTGGGGGGGGTTGGGAGGGGAACAGCCCTTTGCAGACACAAGTTCTGAAGTCCCTTGAAATGTTTCCATTGTGGATTGCAGCAGGTTTGTGGAAATAGGCTGGTTTTCACTCAGGCAGCTGCTGGAAGAGGCTTTGGAGACAGGGATGGGATGGATTCTGCTGCACCCACGGAAAGCAAACCCCTGTTCCCACTCTGTCCC